CCAGGGCAGCCTTAGGTATCTTTTCCTGTCATTCTTGCCAAGACACCAGCAGGTGTCCTTCAGATCCTGGCACTATGGTGATGCCCAGTTTACTGCAGTTAAGGTTTCCTGGGAGGAAACCCTCTTGTGAGCACCAGGACCAATGTGGCTGCAGGAGCTCTCCCCATAGAATAGGCCGAGTTCTATCTGTGCTCTGGGCTGCCCAAACCAAATTGTCTTTGAATTCCCAATGCTACCAAACAGTGAGCACAACCTAGGGGAACCCCCATCATCACCATCACCGTCATCATCCTCTCCATCTTTAGCAATTGTCATTGTGTGATGATCCCAAGGCTCTGGTTTTAATATAAACTCTTGTCTCACGGGCTGTAATGCCATCGGTTGCTTAGGTATTTCTTAGTTTTACTAGGCTTTCTTTACCTCTCCTCTTCATTATTATTTTCCAAAGAAGTTGACTTTTTGTTGGCTGGGGTGTGGGAGGATCTCCTCATTTAACCATGTGCAGCACAGGGAAGGACACCCTGCCCAGTGCTGAGGCATTAATGTAAAATCTGCTTTCCTGTTCTTTGGCTGCTCTGCACAGAGGGGCAAGATGAGGGTCTGTGGTCCATTGGGTTCCTGTGGGAAGGGCTGGGGCTGGCCAGGAGCAAAGCAGATACTGGGACCCCTGCCCACAGCCAGGTCAAGGCCTTGGAGAGGATGCTGTCACCCAACAGCAGCAGTGCATTCTGCAGTGTCAGCTCCCTGGAGAAATCAAGTGCAGGGAAGGGTTGTCACTGAAACTGGATGTTATGCCCAGGTGGGTGGATTGTTTCCTTGAGGGCTGTTGGTTTCTGTGTGAGGTAGTGAGAAAAGCCGAGTGTCTCAGCTCATCTACAAAGAGTCCTCTGATCCCAAAGTTCTAAGTCCCTGCTCGGAATGTCTCTGCACAGGTGGGGACTTTGAAAAAAGTAAGCAGGAGCTGAGATAGGAGAATTTGGAAAGGCTGCTTTAAGAAGGAGAGGATCATTTGGGGATGAAAGTGCAGCCAAGGTTGAGGATGCTGAGCATCACCCCCCCCACCGTGCTGCTGGTGATGCAGTTTTTGTATGAGCAGAAGTTTGGCTCAGCTTAACGTGGTGCCCCAGAGCACAGTAATAAATGGCAGTGTCCTGGAAAGAGAGAGCTGCTATTTCTAAGGGGGCTGTTTTATTACCAACCACCACAGAGAATTGGCCACTGCGGAACTTGCCCCCTGAAATAAATGCATGCAGGAGAAATTCCAAAGTTTTCCTTGGGAGTTGGCGGTACCAGAAGAAATTCAAAGTGTTCTCGGTGGTGGATTGGCAAGGCAGAACCACTCACTGTCCAACTATGGCTGACACCTCAGAGAAGAATTGCTGCTGGGAGTCACCTCCAACCAGACCTGCAACACAGGCATAAACGTGTCTGCAGACAAGGTTACTTCTTTCTCTCACTTGCTTTGTGTTTAGGACTCTTTGCCCCAAACTTTGCTGTCTTTCCAAAGAAATGGGAAGTTGAGGTTCTACTTCCATCCCCCCTCTACATTTCTCCCTGACCTCATCCTCTTGTCAGCAGAGACCTTTGAGTAACCTACTGAAAAGCACTGTGAGAGAGGATAGGAAGCCCATGAATGCACTCACCTGACTGAATTAGCAGGACACATGCTGGCACAGCCACGGTGAAGATCATTTTTCCCAGCTCAAGAATCCCTGTCCCTTGGGAAGCTCTCAGTGCACTGCAGGACTCATCACTCTTGGCCAGACACAATGAAATGGCTGCACCCTGCAGAGTGCCAGAGCATGTGTGACAGTCACACCTCTGGGGTTTGGAAGATCAGAGTGAGGCTCATTCACCTTTGCCTTTGCTTGTCTTCACAGCAGAGAGTGAACAGTCTCAGTGGCTTCCTGCACTTTTCCCTGGGCTTCCTTGTCCTTTGTTAACGTTTACTCTGCGAGGTGAGGAGGTAACGTCTCTCCCCCGCTGCAGAGTGTGTCTGCTTTTGGGTGCTCCCTGCTGGTGCGTTGGCTTTTGAAAGCGCAACAGCTGCCCTGAGCCTTTGAGGCTCTGGGAAACACGGGTGGGGTGGGGTTCTTTTCAAAAGGTTTCACGTTGCTCTTTGTTTAGCCTCTGGTATTTTGGAAGCAGCTGTTCAGTGTTTCTGCACACATTAGGACTCCTGGAGAAAGTTGAAAAGGGGGGAAATAAATGGGTGAACAGATAAGTTCCTAGAATAGGGAAATGGAGTCCTGATTCCAGTGGGTTGGCTAAGTGCTGGCTGGGGCAGGGCAGGATGATGGAGTGGTGAGGAGAGGAAATCTGCAGTCTCTATATCTCTGCAGGGCATAAGGGCAGGGCCTGGGGCTTTGCAGGCACTGCTGGCCCAGTGAAAAGGAAAAGGGCTGAGATAGGGACAGGGAGAGGAGACAAAATCCTGATGCTGGTCAGAAGTGCCAAGGAGCAGCCCTGGCACTGGAAACAACTGCTCCTGAGCAGCATCTCTCTCTCTCCAGCCTCCCAGCAAATGCTCAGCCTTGGCTGTGTTTCCCATTTTGGTGGGTACTGTGCATACAATGGAGAGAGAGTCCCTCACTGCTGGGCCTCTAATTCTGCAGTAATGGACTTTTTATCAGTCAAGGCTGCAAGGGGAGGTTGTTTTTTTAAATCAAAGACCCTCAGCTGAAATCTGCCCAGGTGGTGAACATCCCCTGGCCAAAGAAGCCACTGCTCTTGGAGGACCCAGCAGAGCCCAGAAGGTACCTGGGCTCACTGCTCCCTGATGACCTGTATGACCAGGCAGTGCAAGGAAATGATGGTGCAGATGTTTGTGACAGACACCCTAACCACTGTGAGCACTTTGAACGCTGCAATGGGAAGGAGCTCGTTTGGTGAAATGCCTGTGAGAAGGCAATAATGTACCTGTGTTTCTCCCTTTGGACACAGGGGCAATGTCCTGCACCCAGGGAGGATCAACCCCATCCACCAGTATGTGCTGGGAACTGCCCAACTGTTAGGCAGATTTGGACAAATTACCTGGGGGGTTCTGTGGGACATCACACTGACAATGAGCCAGTAATGTTTCCTTGTTTCAAAGAAGAAACTCATAAAGAACTGTCCTTTTGTACTCTCTAGCACCTGGGACAACAGCTGTGTCTTGGGCTGGTGTCTTCCAGCTATAGTAATGCATTCCAAATCCTCTCACATTGAATTAAACTAAGAATCCAAACTGGGATGAAATCATCCTTGCTGGGGCCTGAAAGGTCTCACACATCTCTGCATAGCCTCCATCTCCTGGCCCTACATGTTCTTTGACTCCTGGTGAGGAGACAGGCTCCTCATGTATTCACGTGGTTTTCTTCCTCTCTTCTCTCTCTCCTCTTGCTCCTCGAGCCCCAAGACATGTCCTGCACAGAGCAGTGCCAGCCCTGCTGTCCCTGCGGGCCCACCCCGCTGGCCAACAGCTGCAATGAGTGCTGTGTCAGGCAGTGCCAGA